GTGAATGTATTGAAAGTGTATTAATTTCAGAATTTTCTATGTTAAACCTACATCCAGGATCATACATACCTTATTTCCTCAAATTCTAATATTGATGGGATTGCTGGGGAAAGATTCCATGAGTAACCATATGTTAAATAAAAAATGAGAGAAAAGATTGCTGCATGTTCAAATAAAATGATATTTATTTAATGTAAAATAGACAATTTCTTAATTGTAACGACTATCATAAAATAAAAGTTTGTATTTAGAAAGTTCTTCTCTCTAACTGAAAAGGAAATGATCATAGTCTTTCAGTGAAGAAGAGAGAAAGTAGAATCCACTGTTGCTTTGGTGGAAAAGACAGGACAGTGAGGTTGGCTCGTGTCTTTTTATTGCTGTCAGTTTTTCTAGTGAGTTGAATGGATGTCTGGTTTATATGGCTTTGTATAGGCTCCAGAAACCTATATTTATTTATTGGCTATCCTTTTATTTTTATTAATTTGAAAATGTTTCAAACCAGAAGGCTATGCGGAGCCTTTGCATGGTGTGTTTATTTTTATTATTTGATCTTTTGATGTGAAACAGTTAACTTCCGCTTACTCTACATGATGTTTAGTAACAATAGCAATGAAAAATATCGACAAAAAAATAGAAAGCTGAATGAGGTAGGCCATGCATCTATATATACACTGGTTTGGTTAGTTTATTTTGTTTTACGGCATATCAACCTCAATGGTTTATTTAATGCCGACAACTTTTTTTTCCCTGGTAATATTTTGTTTTGTCAAAAATCTGTTTCTAGCAATATTTTTTTCCTCAAAAATGTATAGCTGGTAATATTATTTTCAAAAACGTATTGCTGGTAATAGTTTTTTTCCTTCAAAAATTTATTTCTGGTAATAATATTTTTACACTTTTATAATGCTTTTTACCTCTGTTTTGGGTGTTAACTATTTGCCCATACCTGGGACCCTAACAGGTGCTACCATCTCTAGTCAAGGTAGACCTGGGAACACCAGCTATTAAGAGGTGGTTCCATGCTCCTCAAAACCTCCTGATCAGAGTCCTTTCTGTTGGACATACTTTATCGTCTTACCCTGGACACAGATGTAGTCTATCGTCATACCCAGGACAGTATATATACACTGGATGCAAGGCAATACCTATTATTATAGGTATCGGTAAAACTCTAGAATCGGGGGCCATAAAACAAGGGACATAATTTGAGTTAAAATTTATCATTCATTGTTTTCAATGTATAACAAAATGGAAAAAAGTTTTCATGTGACGTGTTTCATCCTTTAGGACTTCATCAGACTAAATTTGTTATGTTGATGCGACTACACATGCGCACAAACTAGGACTGTTGAGAATTTTTTTTTTTTTTTTCAAAGGACAAAAATGGAGTAATATTGATATTTTAGTGTTCTACTTCAATTTAATAATATTTTATTAATGATCTAACTAATTCCATTGGTTAAAAAAAATTCCAATACATTTCCTTCATAACAGTACTGCGATCAACAAAATCTGCAAAAAAGTGGATCACAGAGCCTTGATATTTCGCTGACTCCTGATTTATCAATTAATGCTAATATCATGTTTTCCACTACGTCCGAATGTTTAAATTAATTTACCGCCAAAATTCTATGTGTTTCGAGCCTATCACGTGGCATGCATTATAAATACCAAGCTACATTTTCAACTCTTTCTCTCTCTTTTGCCATCTCTCACATACAAGATGTAATCTCTGTGAAGAATCGTGCTTATCTCTTTAAGGGAAAATGCTATGAAGACACTATGACATGCGCACACATATACGTTCGAGCATTTCACCTCTCTTAACTCATTTCATTTACTTCTTTTAAGTACAAGGACACTTATCAACTTCTAACCGTGAGCTTTTCAGCATCAAACAAATTCACATCGTTCAAACCTTTGAAGTTTCTAAGATTACCTAACATAATACCAAACTTTGAATTCACTCACTCAACAAGCTACACTTCTACGATTTTTATCAAGACAACAAGAATTCTACTCAAAGAACACACAGTTTGCCAAACATTTTATTCAAAAAGCAACTTTGAATATTTCTTTCATTGAGCCTGAACTTTATTTCATGAACTGAAACCTTGTTTCTGTGAGTCCAGATAAAAATATTTTCTCTTAAAAGGTTTTAAGAATTTCCAGTTAAAGGTAGATAACTCCTGCTATATTATTAATTATTAGCATACACTTTGTAACAATTTGCAACTCAGTTTAAATTACCTGAGTAAATTTATTCTTCAGTTTTGTATATTGTTGATATAAAAATGTTTTTTTTATTTCTAGAAAACATATCGTTGTTTATATTTTTGTCGTTGATGACCTTGTGCCATACCCAAAGTTAAATGTTTGTGGAGAAGTTTATTTTCAATTTTCATGCAGCAAACAAAATAATACCTTATTTTTCCGAAATAACCTATACCTCCGTAACAATATATTTGGACGGGAGTTTTATGCATCTGAGGACTAAAAACCAATGCTCTTCAAACTATACGGCGGACCGGCATTATTTTATTTTTCTCAGTGTGTCACGTACCTGTAATTAATATTTCTTGGTAATACTGGAAACGTAACGTAACGAATATAACAAAAAAGTTGACAATTTTTTATCTTCCATTTATTTTGCAAAAAATAATTCAATATCAAAACAAAGTAATAAAAAAAATAATAAACAGTTTATTAACTAACACAAAAACAAAAATTATATAACTTTCATAATTCTTTATAAATGATTCCTTGGCATGGCCTGGACACTGGCCGCGTACCGGTAACTAATGGTTCGCGTACCACCAATTTGAGAAGCACTGAACTAAACAACATTTTTGGATGTAACTAAGACTGAAACATAAAATGACTTTGGTAAACAAATAAGTGAAATGCTGTTTTAGCCTAGGAAACTCAAATTTATTCTACAGCCAAGCAATGAATTCTTTTTATTTACTTTTATTTAAATTTTTTTTAACTTTTCCTTGACGTCACACATATTTCCCACATGGACCACAGTACTTTTTATTTAAACAAAACTTGGTTCATATTATTAACATTCACATTCCACAGAGATTAATTTTATTTTTAATTCATAAACGAAAATAAAGGTTGGAAATCTATCGCTGGTTTAAATCTCTCACGCCCAGTTTAAAAAGAAAAATATAAAAGATAAAGAAAGCGTACAGAAATTGTTTCCAAAATTCAGTTGTTCCTCTATTTACCAACCTCCCCACAAAGCAAAATGCGACACAAGGCCAGTTCTTAACGTGGGGCGTTCGGAGCCCGTAGGCTCGGGCAAAAATTGAGGTAGACACACCCGACACGGAGTCGGGTGTGTCTACCTCCCCAAACGAGACTGTCCTTTGGCATAGCCTCATCTAGGTTCCTCTTCAGAGTTCGGCAAAAGAGAAAGAGAAATACAAACAAGTTTGACCTAAAAAAAAAAAAAAATCAATCATTTTATTGTGGTGGTAAGCTATTCAGCTGGGTCAAACTGTTAAAATATCTCCTCTATTCTCTATAAAAAAAAAGCAAAAACAATGTCACTTTTGTTTGTTTGTCTCATGACAAAAAAACCAACAAAGATATATATACGTATATGCTCGAAAAATTATAAAAAACTGAATGAATTGAATATTGACTCCCATATGTTTCATTGGACTCAAAGAGAAACATCAAAGCAAACACAGTGTTTTTTGTTTTTCATTGAATGCATTATCGTTTACACATGAAGTTTCCCTATTCTCTAAAAATTCAATATTAATAATCAATAGACATGTTTTTACATTGACTATATATAAGTTTCTACTGGAGTGGAACTCTCCTGTTACTAAAGAACATAAATCACCGCAGTAACCATGGAAACCGCGCGAACTTTCTCAAGTTTAACACCAATACGGTTGGTAATTTAACACCAAAAAACAATTATAATAATTTTTGTATTCTTATGAAAAACAATAACTCATCCTTGCAAAATAATATTTATTGAACTTGTCTGAATTTTGTTAGGCGGTTTGTTTCTTGTGGGTTTTCTTTGGACTAATTTCCTCGTCTTTTTTGTTTGTTTCACAACGGTTATTTTATTGTTTTTCATTTTGTTAAAAAACAAAAACAAAAAAAAACACGGTAAAAAACTGAGAAAAACAGAAAGTAAGTCATGGTTTTAAAAAATAAATAAGTAAAACGAGGAAACGAAGTAAAAGAAGAAAAAAAAAAAAAAAAGGTAAAAATCCCAGGTACCGAATCGTAAACAGAAACTGAAATAAGATTTTAAAATACATACATAAACAAATAATAATAATAATTAAAAAAAAAAAAAAAAAAAAAAAAAAACGAAAAGAAATTGAAAATGAAATAAAAGCTAAGGAACTAATCAAAAAAAAAAAAAAAAACAGCCGAGCTCGAAAATAAATAAATAAGCCAGGGGAAAAAAATTGTGGGGGAAAAAAAAAAAAAAAAAAACGAGAAAACCTCAAACAAATCCAGGAATAACTAATAATTTAAAAAAAAAAAAAATTAAAAAAAAGTAGAAAAAAAAACAAATACAATAAATAAAAGCCAGAAAAAGATTGTGGCTAAAAAACAAAATAAAATCGTGACAAAAAAAAAAAAAGAAAGACTCGAATAAATGAACAGATGCAAAAATGGATGAACGAGAAATACAGCAGCTTGCGACTAGAATCGCTTGCATTCTTCGTCCTTCAAAACTTTACATGGATTTGCAGGCAGCAGCCCAAGACGAAGCCGTCAAAGGCAACTTTCGAATTTCAGAAATTAAAAAAGGACTTCTCCAAAATATTCAGGATACGGAATTCGATCGCTCTTTAAGAAATTTTGTCTTCAACTACTTAAAAAGCAACGATTATCTACAACAGCAAGATTCAGAGCAAAACCCCAAAGAACCGATATCTTACTTACTGAAAGCACAACAAAACTGGGAAAAGCGAATTCTGAAAAGTTTAAACAACATGTGCACAGAATTAAACATGCCCCTAGCGAGGAAAAGGCCTGAAAAGAATGCAGTGGAATTGATGTCCCAGTGGACAGAACTCGGTACACACGAACGGGAACCAACTAATATCCGACCCGTTTATGCCCCAAAGGACTTCCTGGAAGTCATTGTTAGTATACATAACCAGTCCAGCGCCAACAAAAATATGAGTGGGCAGTTAGCAATGTGGGGAATTATACAAACCGCTCTCAAAGTGAAAGATTTGCAGCAACTCCGGTCATTCTACAGTGAGCTGTCAATGAACCACTGTCAAATTGGCATCGATGATACAATCGATTCTCTCCACGACTTTTTCTTTGCTGACCATATCAGGTTTGGAAAGAAGGTGATCGCAGAGAGGCTGGCTCCAGTCTCACAGGAATATTCTAAGAGAGGCTGCCCTATAAGTCTGCGTGCTACACTCTGGTGCCAAATGCTGGGTATAAATCTAGACAACATGGATTATTTATATTACGAGCAACTGAAAAATTACGTACTCAAACACGAGCTATTAACAGACAAACTGTTTCTTAAAGACATCAAGTTAACTGCCACCAATGATGACCAGTATTTCATATTTGAAGACTTCCTGTACCAAATTCTCTTGCCATTTTCTCGCGACACAACTTTGTTGCAATGTCTAAACCAGGCCGGGGGTCGACCCCTCAAATCATACATTCGGGGAAAGCTTGGTAATGAAGATTATGCAGTAGCATTTCCCCCCAGTGGGGTGATCCCATTCCATGGATTTTCAATGTACGTCGTACCCTTATGCTACCTTTACAGTGAGCCAGTTAAACTCTACTATGTGTTTCGGAAAATGTACACGCGTTTCTTTTTTAGACTGCACATCATTTCATCCCATGAAGAAGGTATTGTGTCTCTTTGCTTGCTTTTTGAAAATCTTCTTCAATCATTGGAACCCGAGCTTTTCTTTCATCTGAAGCGCCACGGGATTCAACCTTTGAGGATAGCTTTCAAGTGGCTTATTCGAGCTTTCTCCGGTTTTCTAGCCAGTGACCAGGTTTTGTTATTGTGGGACCGGATCCTGGCCTTCAACTCTTTGCAAATTCTCTCTATCCTGGCAGCTGCCGTTTTCTCGTTCCGAAAGAGTAACTTATTCAAGGTGCAAAATTTTGCGGCAGCTGAAAGTGTTTTTGCTGATCTCATGACTTTACAAGTAATTCCGCTAATTCAGTTGGTCTTGTTCTCAAAATAAGCAGTTTTCTTTTCCCATATGAAACTGGATTTGTTTTTTTTGTTTTTTTTAAAAAGAAAAAAAAAATGACAGCAAAGATGCTAAACACCATTTATTTGTTATATTAAATTGGTTGACAATGCTTCATCAAATAATATAGGTTGAGTATCCTTTATCCAAAATTATAAAATCTGAAAACTTCCAGTATATGAAAACCTCCAGTATTTGAAAGTTTTTCAAGTGTTGTCATGACTTGCCACAAATGGAAAATTTCAGAAAGCAATATGGCTACCCATAGCATGATTATTGTGTTGCAGTGTTACAAATAAGATGCTGACTTATTTCATTTTTCATTACATTTAACTTTAATCAGAATCCATGTTTTTATATAAATACTGTGCCTGTATGTATTGTAACATTTTAATCAAAACACAACAGCTTCTGACACTCATAGTGATCTCATTGATGATGTACCCTCTCCCACCAGTTTCTCACACCTGATGTAGAGATATCAAAGGAGAGTGAGATTCAGAGCCATTATCCATTAGAGTGCCTGCACATTCAAGCTTACAGCACCTGGTCATCAAGTGGTCACCTATCTAGGTACTGACAAGGCTTAATGTCGCTTAACTTTGGTGATCATACAGGAACTAGTGTTTCAATGTGATGTGACCATAAGCCTAACATAAATGTGGTTCTACAGAAGGATACTGAGAATACATAGATTAAACATGTGAGCAATGATGAAGTTTTAGAGAAAATAGAAACAAAAAAACACTTAGAATTAATAGCAGAAAGAGATAGTTGAAATTTCTGAGACATGTAATGAGGAGAGAGGGCTTAGAGAATTTGGTACTCACACGACATACGGAAGTCAAGAGGAACACAAGAAAGCAGCTCATAACTTGACAAGTTTGTATAAATGGTTGGCAGACCAAGGATTAGGATAGATAGCAAAACAAGTTTTACATAGAGTGACAAAGGACAGGAAACTTTGGAGAGCCATAATCATCTGAAGGGGTACAAAATTAGTACAGGTTAAGTATCAGTATCTGTCTATATTTCTGAGATGAGGTATTATGTACACTATTTACATTATTCGGACTATTGTCCTCATCTTTGTAGCCATATTTATCTGATCCTTCAGTATCTGTCTATATTTCTGAGATGAGGTATTATGTACACTATTTACATTATTCGGACTATTGTCCTCATCTTTGTTGCCATATTTATCCGATCCTTCAGTATCTGTCTATATTTCTGAGATGAGGTATTATGTACACTATTTACATTATTCGAACTATTGTCCTCATCTTTGTCGCCATATTTATTACAACATTTCGGCCTCAAGGACACATGGCACAGTTGATAAAGGCATTGGTTAGATCCAGTGACAAGAACCAAAGAGTGAGAGTTCAATACCCGATTAAGGCAGTGGAGAACTTTCAGAGGGAAATTAACAGGAGATAACTGATAACTGACATCCATTAAATATGGCCTGTGGAATTAGAACAGTCTACCCCAGTGAGCAAAATAAAGGGTTCAGTTCAACATTCCAACCACCTGAAGAAGGCCCGAGCGTACAATGGCTGAAATGTTGTAATAAATATGGCGACAAAGATGAGGACAATAGTCCGAATAATGTAAATAAGGCTGAGTATCCTTTATCCAAAACCTCCAGTATCTGAAAGTTTTTCAAGTGCTGTTATGACTTGCAACAAATGTAAAATTTCAGAAACTGTGCTTGTATGTATTGTAATATTTTAATCAAAAACACAACAGCGTTGATAGAGACTGATAGCTTACCAAATTTTCCTTCTCACAATCACAGTGATGTCATCGATGATGCACCCTTTGCTTCCAGTTTTTTTTTATATATACCTGATATAGCATTGTTTGGTGTTGCATTTATATATTTTTGGTAAGTAGTGATCATGTTTTTTTGTACACATACAGAAAGAACAAAAAATTATTTCTACATGAAATTTTGATTTCACTACTATCTGTGTACAGTGGAGTAATGGATAGTGGCTCAGATTGAGGAATCGAAGAGCCGAGTTCAAATTCCAGTCAAATCCATTACATTCACTTATGTGCTAATACCCTTGGGAAAGGTATGAATCCTCTACTTCTCTCCCCAGCTATGGGTAAATAGCAGGACAGATCGGGTTCTGTAGCCTTGGATGGCAACTGGTCTACTGCGGGAAAAATCTACCTCGTCAGTTATGTATCAAAAGATACATGATCGCCTAAGCGTGTATCACACATGGCTCATAACTGACTGTGTGAGCATTACATGGCTACTGTCATTACCAGTTTCTGTATGTACACAAAATTTATTAAATTTTATATGAAACTACTTTCAGGGTATATGTTATTTATCTCCCTTCAGGGTATGTGTATAAGCTGTGTTATGAAATATAAAAGGATATTGTGTTTGTTTGGGTTCTATTCCCAAGCTGCCCATTTTATAGATGCTGTATACAAATTAAATAGCTGTATTTCAAAATTTGAATAAAATCAGAAAACCAAAGCACACCTATAAAAAATAAAGGCCATCTCCCTTTGATACATGGCTCCTGCTGATAGCGAGAAGAGTCTATTAAACTGATGATAATGGGTATAACCCAAAATTAGGTGTGAAATAGGATTTCAAATGCCAACTTGAGATACCAAGAAGAATATGGAATGGCACCTCCAATGGTTAGCAAGCTTGTCTTGCTAGAACTATTACGACTGAGTAGTGAGTTCGATCCTCACTGGGTACCCCATACTTTCAACCTTGTGCCACATCTGAGCTATGCTTAGAAAATCTCTACCAAGAAGAATATGGAGCAAACAGACATGTTTCTACCCACTTTCAAATCAGGCATGCTGGCTAGAAGCTAACCTGAATAATTCGAGCTCAATGTAGCTAATACAAGCAGTATATGAACATCATTCAGGTAAGTGTATCGTCTATTTCATATAGATATGTATTTGGATTTTGTCCCCAATGCTTTGATTAAAAGAATATGCTTTTAGCAATCCTTTATTCTTGTAATGTATTGTGTTTCTTGTATAAAGTATGCTTCTTTTTTCTTTTTTTTTAATACAATGTTCTATTGTCTCACTTTGTAGATCAAGCCACCTCTTAGGTTGGAGAGTTGTTAAATTTCCCCACTCACCTGGGCCCAAGAATTTCAAGATAATATTACTACTACTAATACAATAAAAAACAAATAAAATTAAGATGAAAGGAATACGAATCCAATATGAATAATGGTTGGTGCTTTGTGACCCTTGCTATCTTATAAACATTTGCTTTTTTTCTATTTACATTTATATTCATTACAAATTAAACTAAGTACAACTGACTATTAAAGGATGAAAAATTTTTGCTGATTTTGATGTCATTCTGAACCCAACAACCCCCACCTAAATTCATGAATTTGTTTTGTTCATGCTAACCCTCCCCACCCACAAAAGACACTATATAAAATTCACTTTTTTCTTTTATCCGTAATGTTGAAGGAGTTAAATTATTCAGCATTTTAACAAGAAAAATCTCAAGTTGATGTTAAAAATTGCAGTAAGACATTGTTGATAGAATGATCTATTATAACGTGTCTCTAATTTGTATTTATTTTCAATTTTTTCTAGTTGAATCGTTCACCTATATTGCATATGATCCATTATTGTATACAACTAGGTTAGAATAAAATTTGTATTTTATAGGAATACTACTTTATAAAATGTTCAAATATAGTAATGAGGGAGGGGCACAGTGAGGGGCACGGGGCCCTTGCACCGGCTCTGATTACAGTCACTCAGTCATTTATTGCTTACTAGCAGTAGAGCCCGGCATTGCCCGGGGATGTAACAGTAAGAGATAGATCAAGTATCAACCATCATAAAGACTGAAAAATAAAATTGACAAAGATTATTATTTAAGGTTGACGGACACACGTCTAAATATATTTTTTTTTTTTTTTTTTTTTACGAATTGGTCAAACCCAAACTCAAACAAAAACATTGTTTTCAATCGTTATGAGTCTACCGATTGAATAGAATTTTATTATAAACAATTGTCTTGTAAATGGAATTTTTAAAGCATTCTGAATGTAAAAATAAAGAAAAAAGTGTACAAGACAATAAGAAACACTACCTGCCAAAAAAAAAGTGAAGTTTTGTTGAAATCGGTTGAAAAATGTAGGAAATCCGATCCCATATATAAACGAACACACACACACACGCAAACAAACTGGGTTTTATAATAAGTATAACTTTATATGAGTTGTCCCCCCTTTCATTCTCGTGATGCCTCTTAATCGTGTTTTCAAATTGATTTTGTGCAAAAACAATTGTGTTTTTCCAATTTTTGGCACTGTCAGAACCACCGCAATGTAATTTTACGTAGTCCTGTGAAGTTTTGTTGAAATCGGTTGAAAAATGTAGGAAATCCGATCCCATATATAAACGTACAGACATAAAAACCCAGGTTGTGTGTGTTTGTAATAAGTATGATGTAAATTTTCTTGTTTTATAGTTCAGATAATTTTATAAGTTTATGAATAAAAAAAAAATTGTTTTCATAGTTATTCTTTAAGTACACTGTATTTGGTTCACATATTTTTAGAATCCTGCAAACATAAAATTCTTGTAAAGAAAGAATCTGATGAATAAATAGTGCTTAATATTTTTATTGTTAATTCAAGGTGGAAAGAAATATAGTTTTATACAAATGGCTTTCATTAAAAGTTTGTAAATAGTTTTTTTGTTAAAGCAAAAATTGTTGAAGGAGTATACAGTAATAGAAATCAAAACGTCCTTTTTCACAACATTTTTTTTTGCAGTTAGGTTTTTTAGACATTGCCAAAATCAGTTGCCGACACATGTGCTATCTTTATTTACAAAACCTAGTTCTGGGAGTCAAGGTCATTATCTGGCATCTGAAATGTCCCCAACAGAGTAAGTGCTGAGGGGGGCTTCAGCAATTTAAGAAAAGGTAACAAATTCAAGATTTGCCAAGAGTTTGTCATTTCTTATCCTGCTTACTCATTGTTGTAACAGTTTTTTTTGTTTTTGTTTTTTAAATCAGTTCATCCCAAGCAAAGCAATAATGCCACTAAGACGCAAGGGGCTACTGGGAAGAATGAAAATATTTTAGAAGGAATCAGAAACACAATCCTAAACAAGAAACCAGGGATAAACCTCTACTCCTGTTCAAAAGACCAGGAAGGAGTGTGAACCAGACGATAGGCAAATCTTAGAAAGTGCAAAGGTATGAAAACTTGGCAAGCAGAGTTCAAATCCCAGTCAAGCTCACTACATTCACTTTTTCACAATGGATGGACGGTAAAATGATGGGTTGAATAGTTGTCATTAAATGCAAGCAAAATTAAGAAGGAAAAAAATTTGCTAGTAAAATTGATTTGTCTATTTACAAGTAATGGACTCTTTTTGCCATGTTTACAAGACGCAGCACAAGTAGGTTTAGTCAGATTTATCTTACTGCTTTCCGCTTTAGTTTAAAGAGAACAAAGGATGCTATGGAAAACCTTGGTCACAGGGATACCAACTCTGCTGCAACACCTCCTCCGTTGAACTAAAGAGGATGGGTTGGATAGAAAAATGTCAGCATGACAATTGTCTCAGGGACAGAGTAATTTCTGTCCTTTGTCCATATGTACCTGTA